ATATATTTTTCAAATATGTGAGATACAATGCTAAAATGTCGAATCCCCCTTATTATTCCATTTTAGTGTAACAATTAAAGTGGTAATTTGAAATTATTCATGTTGGTTAATGTTCATAATTTAATTGAAAGCATCTTCCTATAGCGATCAAATTTATTCCTCTCATTTAACTTTTCTATCTCTTGATGAAAGATATAAATATGATAAATGCATTAACGAGTACAAAAATGCCTATTGAAATCATATAAAATATAGAGGTATATCTATATCCTCTATTGAATCTTAAAATATTTATTATCTTGTACTTAAACTCTATTGTCTCTCTCGATAACAATAAAATCAACTAACAATTAAATTGATGATCAAGCAATTAAAAAGAACGATAAAAAAGATAATAAACATCCACAAATTAAATCAAATTAAAGTCAAAATAATTAATTAAAAAGTAAAAATATCAGAACAAGAGTTCATCTCATCATAACAATGTATAAAACTAGTGTAACATATTGAAATTATAAGAAATTAACCCAAATTTTTAATAAATTGAGAAGATGAAGATGAAGGTGAATTTTGAAATATTGAATCTCCTCAATAGTTTTTTGATGAATTTTCAGTTGCACATTCTCTTCTTTACCCAAAAATCAAGTTTGAATTTTTACTTGATGAATTCTTGCAAATCCCCTCCAATTATCTTTAAAAAACTATGAATTTTTCTCATTTGATGATAATAATTAATAAATATTGGAGTATGATATGCATATGAGAGATATCTAATATGTATTCTGCTATCGATATTTGTAGGAGTAGAAAATTGTTTGAAAATTACGTCCAAATTGATTTTAAAAAGAGTTCAAATCGAATAAGGAAAGTTGCATTCGAGCGCGAATTTTTTTTTTGTCTCTGCATAGCAGTTGGTATTTTGATACTAACTTTCTTTCCCGATATTCAATTGAGATGATTCAAAGTGCATTGTAAATCTAACTCAAAAGTCTTCTTAGAAATATAATATTTCTAATTCAGACGTTTATTATGACAAAAATGGGTTTCAATCTTCGAATAAATCTGAATTATAACTTGTGCGATTAAAAATTGATTTTGTTAATAGTTTGATCATATTTCATTCCCTTTTTAGTTCTAATTCCACCCAATTGTCTCATATCAATCTTCAAAGTATCTTCTTGTGGTATGAATCAATTATTGAATATTTGCAATTTGGTTCTCAAACTTTGGGCTTTGCCTTTTTTCTTTGATTTTTCTTTTGTTTCTTCGAATTCCTCATTCAACCATTAAGTTTTTACCTATATAATATAAAATACAATAATTTAGGATATATTTTGTCAAAATAATTACCAAATATCGATATCTTAAGCTTCAAATAAATGTATAAAATAAACTTATCAATCCCCATCTTCTTCATTAAGCGTATCTACCACATGTACTAGTCTTGGTTTAGGAAACTCATTCGATTTATTTTTGAGCTTTTCACACCTGTAACACTTTTCAGCAGTTGGTTTGGTATACAGATTGTTTCCTGCTTTATCATTCGACTTTTCTCTGATTATAGCCCATTTTGATTATACTGAATTACTGACAACGTGTGGTTTAGTCGCCGTTTGGGGCAGATGCGACCCTTTTGNTACTGAATTACTGACAACGTGTGGTTTAGTCGCTGTTTGGGGCAGATGCGACCCTTTTGGTGCCCATCGATTGTATCATCTGAATCTCTCAAAAGATAGAAGGCATTGTGACTGTTGTGCAAGCACTAATTCAATTCGAAACACCATCTCCTTGGCGATGTTAAAAATTCATATTTTTCTAGTGCTTGAAACCCTTTACCATTTTGTTCGCACCACAAGTCTTCATTTCTTTTCTTTAGTTTTCTTTTCTTCTCTTTCATATTCTTTGCTTTTAGTTTCAGATAGAGGTTCAAATACTACAAAAATTATATTCACAATGGTGCTCATGTCTAGGCATCTCAAGCTGGGAAAGTGCTAGACGTACAGAAGAAGTGCTGCTAGATTTTTTATAGATAACAACAAGCACTGTGCTTGTAGGGAATCTAACAGCAGTTTCCCTGTACAAGGGAAATTGCCATTCAAGTAAATAGATTTTTATATTCCATCAATCACATTTAGGGTGATTGTCTGACTTATTTCTATATGATTACATAATTGTTACATATAAAAGTAGTTCTTTTGAAATGAAAAATAGTATGAAAGGTATTTATGTCTTTTACCACTTTCCAATTAGTTTTGTTAGTTAATGACTCTATAAATTGGGGCTGATTTCCGTCTGTACTTAGTTGAATTCATTTTTCAATCAATTGGAAAATTCTTTTCCCGCCTTTTGCTCTCTCTCATTCTAGATCATTCTCCACAAATTCAACATGGTCACAGCAGGTTGTACTCATCAATTAAATCCCGATTTTCAATTTTTCGATCAGATCAGATTTATTACTTCCTATCATGGCGAATGATTCTAGTGTTCAGGCGGATGTTCAAAGTAAGTTCGATCAGGCAAATGCGGCCAACACTTTTACTGATTCATCTGCTGAAGATTCAGTTGGAGGAGACGCGATCTCGATGATCAATCCCATAATAAGCGATCCTAATAGTTCTTACTATCTTCACTATGGAGACAATATCGGTATACAGCTAATTTCTGTTATCCTCACCGAGGAGAACTATGCGACGTGGAGTCGTGCAGCAACGATGGCACTTAGTGTTAAAAATAAAGAAGGT